TATTTTCTGGTAACCAATTGTAAATGTAGCGGTTGGTTTAAATATCAATTTGCCTTTATGACCTTCTATTATTATTAAGACATTCTTTATGTTTATACGTTCTATTTATAAAAGAAAAGAATTATAAAAAAAGAATTATAAAAAGACAATTATTAAAAAGAGACATTTTTATGTTTATACGTTCTTTTTATAAAAAAAAGAATGATAAAAACGTATTATAAAAAAGACAATATTTCAAGACATTTTTAAGAAATGTCTTAAATTAATTGTCGGACTTTGTCCATTTCATAATGCACACACACACACACACACACGCACGCACACACACACACACACACACACACACACACACACATATATATATATATATATATATATAAAAATAAATATATATATATATTTATGAATAAAAATGACAATAGGAAAACTAGTAATTGCTGACGCGTTTCCTCCAATATGTACTTTATCAAAGCAAAATACGAAATGAATTTAATTGAACAAGGTAACTAATAAAAAAAAACAAAAAAAAAACAGAGTGTTCCTAGCAACTGGAATATAGAGAAAAGCTATTTATATATTGTTAACTGAAAATAACGTCAGTATTTGTCCCGTGTGGAGAATATTGTCATTGTATCTGTGTTGATGTATTCAACCATTTTCTTTTGATTTTATGAATCTGCTGTGTACATTTGTTTGTGAGAGCAGTAATTTTGTTAAGAACGGTGAAATGGGGAAAAAACCTGGGCGTAGATTAATATTTGGGTAATAATCTATGGCAGCACTCTCTAGAATTTTCCTTCTGAGTGAGTTATTTTCTTTTTTTATGAGAAAGTTGACATTGGACGAAACGCTTCAGCAGTTACTGGTTTTCCTATTGTCATTTTTATTCATAAATATTGTCTCCTCTACTGGTTAAATAGGAGAAATTTTCATTCATATATATATATATATATATATATATATATATTATTCATACATGTTTCATTAAATAATATAGACAAATATTGTCTATTTATTTTATGTAAATTCTTTTCATAACGTCTGATATATATATATATATATATTTGTGTGTCTGTGTGTGTCTGTGAAAATGGGAGACAAGAGAAATATCCTTTTTCTTTTAGTCCCACATTGTTTAAATATAAATTTGAATTAAAGAAAGTGGTTCTGATTATAAGAGAAATAAATTTATTAAGGTGAAGATCTATTGAAAGTTCACTAATCCTTAATCCTATACAGTCGATTCAACATTATCTTTTTGCCTCACAGTATAACAGCCAGAATTATTAGAAAAATGTAACGATAAAAAAACAGAATGAGGTCGGCTAATTTAACTATGTAGGTGCATCGAACCTTTAAATGTGGAACATCACTGCATAATTAAAGTTTCGATGTAATTTTCAACTAGCGTTTTTTTTTTTTTTTTTTTTTTTTTTTTTTTGTAAGCATTTTACCCGAATCAATGCGGGAGTGTCACTAGCACGCAAGGGGATACAGAGTAAGGGATAAAAAACTAGCTATTGGGGGGTAATGTGGATCAAGGCAACAGAAGATGTCGACTGATGTTACATTTAAATATTTGAAGATTATATTTATCAGGGAAGCAAGTAAGAAGAAGAGAGTTCCAGTGGCGGGAAAAAAAAAAGCTGTTGAAGTAGAAGAGGCAGTTACATTTAACAGCTTCGAAAGTAAAATGGCGGGGCCGAGATACTAACCTAGCAGCACGTATATAGTCGGGGCACCAGTGAAAATAAATCGTCGGAGCAGATACCATGAAAAATATTTATAGAAAAGTCCGAGGGAAGCCACATTACGTCGGTGAGAAAGTGACTGGAGTCAAGACCAATCGCATCACATATCCGTTTTTGGATTTTCTAGAGAAACTTTGAGATGAACAGCGGGGGGCACTAGACCATATATGGCAACAGTATTCAATGTAGGGACGAATGGTAGATTTGCAGATTTGAAGGATGAACTCCGGCGAGAAAAACCTACTGGCGCTAAACACAGAGAACTGACGTTCCTTGCGGTAGATGAAGCTATTGATTCAATGTAGTTGTTCCACCTCAGCTCAGTGGAGAACGTGAGACCAAGAAAGCGCAATGAGGTGCTCTCGTGGAGTTGAACATCAACCATGCTGTCAGAAAACAGGGACATTTCTATATGATGAGTAAATGACAGCAGTTTCGTTTTGGAGGCATTAAAATTCATAAATCATTTACTGTCCCAAGTCAACTACAGATTGAAGGCTGTTTTCGCGACCAACGGAAAGGTTAACTTTGTCAGCAATTGTCAGCGGATTTACTGTTTAAATAGAAGTAAATGGTAGTGTCGTCTGCGTAGATACCTACTTGAGTAATGATGACGTCAGAAATCATTGACGTAGATCAGAAACAGGGTAAGACCAAGGATAGAGACTTGGGGTATACCAGCGTTCGTATGGAAGGAACTGGAAAAGAACCCGTTCAGGACAACCTTCATATTTCTTTCATCTTTTATCGTATTTTTCTTTAATTTTCTTCTTCTTTTGATATTTCTTTTTATTTTATTCTTTCTTGACCACCACAATCTTAACATCTTCAGGCCTATGGTGTCCGGTGCATCTTTTCCCAAACATCATCATATACCGTATTTCTTCACTCTTACTTCTCATACCAAAACCGCATCTCTATCTTGAGAGGCTCTCGAACCCTGTACTTGGTGAACATAATTAAAATAAAATATATATATATTTATACTTATTTACTTTTTATCTTCAGTTTTTATTAAACCTTTCCAAATCTGGTCTTTCTTTCTTTCTCGTTTTTTTGTTTTTTCATTTTTAAGTGTAGATTTTTTTTAAACAATTTTTTCATTTATATTTTATGTTTCTGTTTTTTACATTTTTAGAACTTTTTCACTTTTTCTTTCCTTATATTTTTTATTGCAGATCTTCGTCCGATTTGTTTTCTCTCTCTTTTTCTTTTTAGTTTCTTTCTTTATCTTTAACACTTTCCACTTAGACTCTTTCTTTCTTGCATTCTTTTTGTAGTTTTTATTTTTATTTTTCATTTTGATTATTTGCTTTCCTTTTACTTCAAATTTTACTTCATTTCACTTTTTCTTTTCTTTCGTTTTCTTTCTTATTTTCCTTTGTTTCCTTTTTCTTTCTTTTTTCTTTCTTTCTTTTTTCTTCTTTCCTTCTTTTATTCTTCTTTTCGTCTTTCGTTTGTTATTTCATTTTACCTTTTTTGCTTTGTTTATTTTGCTCTTTGGGTTTTTTTCTTTCTTTTTGTTTTTCTTTCTTTTTCTTCTTTCTTTCTTTCTTTCTTTTTGTTCTTTTTCGTTTTGGAGCTTTATTCTTTGTTTAATTTTTTCTTTCATTTTTCTTTCTTTCTTTTGCTCTTGATTTGTTTATTTCTTTAAATTTTTCTTTCGTTATTTCTTTTTGTTCTTTTTTCTTTGTTTCTTTCTTATTCTTTCTTTTTCTTTTTTGTTTTAGAACTTTAATTCTTTGTTTAAATTTGTCTTTTTTTCTTTCTTTCTTTCTTTCTTTCTTTCTTCTATTGTCTCTCTTTTGTTATTTCTTTTTCTTTTCTTTTTTCTTCTTTCTTTTTTCTCTTTCTTTCTTAATTTCTTTACTTTTCTCTCCTTGTTTTGCAGCTTTAATTCTTTCTTTACTTTTGTCTTTCTTTCATTTTTTTCTGTCTTTCTTTTTTTTAGGCTGTTTTATTGTAGATTTTGTAAATACTTTTTTTCTTCTTCTTTTTTTATTATTAATTTTCGCATCTTTCCACTAATCCGGTTCCTTTCTCTTTTCTTTCTTCATCTTTATAAAAAACCTTTCTTTTCAGGTGGAATTCCCACATACGATCCATAGCTAAAGATTCCCTGTACCACAACAGTAAGGACCTGACTCTTCTTCCTATCCCTATTTATTTAAAATATCCACATCAGGCCGAAAATGAAGAACTGCTGCTAAATACAGTCAGGAGTTACACAGTCTTCACATTCCAATCTCTATAGAGTCCAAAAGCGTCTCCGCGTCCTTGTGGGTGATTAATTCTTTTCCACCTTATAAACCCTTTCTCATCGACGAAACATCGCAAGTCTCTTCTCTATCGTTATTTCCATGCAAAGTGCTCAGTTTTAACCATGACACGCCTTGTCACGCCCATTCTCGCGAACCACCCTCATTACTTTAGCATCCCATGGATGAGACGTAAGTTCCACGTGAGCAGCTTCTTCCCATGAACCTTTGCGGAACAGATGCCCAAGACGATCCTTCTCCTGATCACTACAAAGTTAACCTTTTAAGGTTTAGGGTTAACGGTTATCTTCTCCACATATCCTTAAAAAATCTTCCTCTTACTCTGTAACTATCTACCTCAAGTGGCTCTTGGGCGTTTCACCAGGTGGATATCATTGAAAAAGATAACAAAAAATACACATTTTCTTACCGAGTCATTAATAGTCCCGTCTTTCCTTTTTTCTATTCTTCCCATTTGGCTTTCGTTTTATTTTCATTTTATTCCTTACCAATTATTCTAAAAGAAGATCGGTCAAAGAGTAAGCATTCACGCGCGGAGACGAGGAACTCAATGCATATCATAATGTACGAAGCTGGGAAGGCAATGGATATAACCTTGATGGCGTTAGATGCTTGTCAAAACTTTCCAAGAATTTTCGTTTTCTATTTTCTTTCTGTCTGTTTTCAGGTTATTCGCTTGCAAGCTAGCTTCGTTTGAATCGACTGTATTTTTCTTTTCCATTTTTGGTTCTTTCTTTTTTTCATTGTTTCTTTCTTTTCCATTTTTGGATCTTTCTTTTTTTCATTGTTTCTTTCTTTTTCGTTTTTTGTCTACCATGTTTCATTCATTTAGTTTTCCATTTTAATGCGCTTTCTTCCTTCTTTTTTTATTTTTTTTATTTCTTTTCACACTTTTTATCCTTCATTCCCCTCTTGACTCTATTTTGGTTAACTAACTTTTCATTTTTTCAATGTTCTTTCAATTTTTCTTATGGCTAATCTACTGTTTCTTTCGTGTACGTTCTTTCTTTACTTCTCGCGTTTAATCTTTCTTTTTTTCGTTCTTTCTTTCTTTAATTCCTGCTTTTTTACTTTCTTTCATTCTTTCTTTCTTTCTTTCTTTACGCTGTGCTTTTTAATCTTTCTTTCTTTTTTCTTTACCCCCTGCTTTTTAATCTTTCTTTCTTTCTTTCTTTCTTTCTTTCTTTCTTTCTTTCTTTCTTTACACCCTATTTTTAAAATCTTTCTTTCTTTACACCCTGCTTTTTTAATCTTTCTTTCTTTCTTTCTTTCTTTCTTTCTTTTTCTTTCTTTTACGCTGTTCTTTTAATCTTTCTTTCTTTTTTCTTTTAACGCTTTTTGCTTTTTCTTTCTTTCTTTCTTTCTTTCTTTCACTTTCTTTCTTTTTAATCTTTTTTTTTTCTTTCTTTCTTTTTTTTTTTTATTACTTTTTTACTTTTTTTTTTTTTTTCTTTCTTTCTTTCTTTCTTTCTTTACATCGTGCTTTTTTAATCTTTCTTTCTTTCTTTCTTTCTTTCTTTCTTTCTTTCTTTCTTTCTTTACACCGTGCTTTTTTAATCTTTCTTTCTTTCTTCTTTTTACCCTGCTTTTTTTAATCTTTCTTTCTTTTTTTTTTTCTTTCTTTACGCTTTGCTTTTTAATCTTTCTTTCTTTCTTCTTAACACCCTGCTTTTTTAATCTTTCTTTCTTTCTTTCTTTTCTTCTTTTCTTTTCTTTCTTTCTTTCTTTTTTACACCGCTTTTTTTATCTTTTTCTTTTTTTTCTTTTTACCCTGCTTTTTTTAATCGTTTTTCTTTTTAATTTTCTTTCTTTCTTTCTTTCTTTCTTTTTTGCTTTTTTTTTAATCTTTTTCATTCTTTCTTTTTAACACCCTTTTTTTAATCTTTCTTTCTTTCTTTCTTTTTTTTCTTTTCTTCTTTTACACCGTGCTTTTTTAATCTTTCTTTCTTTCTTTCTTTTTTTTTTTGCTTTTTTTTACACCTTTTTTTTTTTTTCTTCTTTTTTTCTTTCTTTTGCTTTTTAATCTTTCTTTTCTTTCTTCTTAACCTGCTTTTTTTTTTAATTCTTTCTTTCTTTTCTTTTCTTTTCTTTTCTTTCTTTACATCGTGCTTTTTTAATCTTTTTCTTTCTTTCTTTCTTTCTTTCTTTCTTTTCTTTCTTTCTTTCTTTCTTTCTTTACACCCTGCTTTTTTAATCTTTTCTTTTTCTTTCTTTCATTCTTTTCTTTCTTTTTTTTTCTTTCTTTCTTATGTGCATACTTATACGTGTCTATGATATCTATATGCATATATATATATATATATATATATATAGATATATATATATATATAGATATATATATATATGTGTGTGTGTGTGTGTGTGTTTGTGCCTTTGAGTGTGTGTTTGTGTACTTTTTTAATTTTTCTTTTTTTTTTCTTTCTTTCTTTCTTTGTTGGTAATATTGTACTTTTTGTAATTCTTTTAGAATTCAATATGGTAGTTGTTCTACCGCGTTTTGTATGTAGTTTGAAAAATCTAACATGCTAAATCTTGGGAGTATAGCATTATGTCTATGTATAAACCACTCTGTTACGGTATAGGGCTTCCAAAGTACTGGAGCGGAACATGAAGGTATTGGTCAATACCGAATACATTCTTTTATAGATGAAAAATGTGTTTCAAAGTCAAAGACGTTTTTTATAAATTAGAACATAATCTTCCTTTTTTTAAAACAAAACCGTTAGGACAGCACTTTGCTTCTTCCAACTGAGTAAAAGCCTTTATCTTGTCAGCTGAAATAAAATCATGTAATTCATCAGTTTGGACCAATCATTGTTTTGGAGGCTTTCTGAATTCCCTTGTATTCGGCAAAAGATACCGTTTTCTTATCTTTTCTGAATGCATTGTAGATATTGGATGTAAATTCCAGTTCAGTTTGTTTCGTTTTTCTTTCAGAATAAATTTCTCTTCAAAATGTTTCATACAGAAAACTGAATTTTTCGTAGGAAACCAGTCAATATGATTAACAGATTTTATCCATTTTTCTACGAGTGTGGATTTTCCAAGAGGAAAAGAAAATGTTGATACGTTTTCACTGTAAATAAAATATTCACTAGAACAGCCAAATGCAACATAAGTGTTAACCATTTTGTTAAACAAGAAACTTTATAATTTAATTTTTAAATACAGTGGAATATCAGGTAGAAAATTTACATTCATTTATATTTCATTTATAAAACGGGCCGTATACGCAGTTGAAAATCATAAAATCGAGGTAAATCACACCGTTTACAATTCGTGGATTAGTAAAAAAAAAAAAAAGATGGTGTAAATATGCATTTTAGTGTTGAAAATGTGTCTAGGGAATTGAAATAACGTCTGATAAATTCTACGTAATTGTACGTTGTTAATTTACGTTCTAAGAATTTAAATTTTTTAAGTTACCTCCATTTTAGAGTAGCAACTTTGTAATCGGCCATTCCCTTTTTTTTTGGATTATATCGGTCTGTTAGAATTCAGCTTGTTACGTTACATGTGAGGCCGAATAATACTAGTTGGCCATAATTGTACCTACATCATTTCTTTCTTTCTTTCTTTCTTTCTTTCTTTCTTTCTTATATTTCTTCTTTCTCTTTCCATCTAAGATGTACTCACGTCATTTCTTTCTTTCTTTCTTTCTTTCTTTCTTTCTTTCTTTCTTTCTCATTCCGTCTAAGTTGTACCCAAATCATTTCTTTCTTTCTTTCTTTCTTTCTTTCTTTCTTTCTTTCTTATATTTCTTCTTTCTCTTTCCATCTAAGTTGTACTCACGTCATTTCTTTCTTTCTTTCTTTCTTTCTTTCTTTCTTTCTTTCTTTCTTTCTTTCTTTCATATTCCGTCTAAGTTGTACCCAAATCATTTCTTTCTTTCTTTCTTTCTTTCTTTCTTTCTTTCTTTCTTTCTTTCTTTTCTTTCACATTCCGTCTAAGTTGTACCCATGTCATTTCGTTCTTTCTTTCTTTCTTCCTTTCTTTCTTTCTTCCTTTCTTTCTTTATTTCTTCCTTTCTTTCTTTCTATCACATTCCGTCTAAGTTGTACCCATATCATTTCTTTCTTTCTTTCTTTCTTTCTTTCTTTCTTTCTTTCTTTCTTTCTTTCTTTCCCATTCCGTCTAAGTTCCCATGTCATTTCTTTCTTTCTTTCTTTCTTTCTTTCTTTCTTTTTTCTTTCTTTCTTTCTTTCACATTCCGTCTAAGTTGTACCCATATCATTTCTTTCTTTCTTTCTTTCTTTCTTTCTTTCT